GTGCAATGTGAGATGTTCAAAGCCTTCACGTTTGTTGCAGTTTCCTTCAGATTAATGAATCCTAGCTGGAGATCAATCGGGGATGATTTGCCAAATATATATTTATACATCACAACTTTTCCCTCGTGTGACATGCCAACTTTATTGACAATTTTGTGCAACGATTTTAATGGTTATTTTTAGCATCTAATTCACAGAGTTTAGTTTTTCCCAGGTGTTTCTAACGCCTCACAACTTTCTTGCTCTCCCCTCCTAAAGATGTAAATTTTGGTCAAACTGCTCAGTTCTACTTTTAATCTTCTCATTTTTAATTTTTACCTGATTATAGAAAAGTAACAGGAAGATTCACGCATACATTTTGTTGGATTTCTTTCTGAAAATAATCTAAAATGTGCCCAAATAATTCAATAAAATAAAAAATAAAAAATGGTATTTTTACAGACATGACGTGATGGAATGGTACAAATATTTGGACCCATTTTAATGGGCTCATTTTCAGAGAGTTTCTCCAAGTTGACATTTAGAGAAATTTTATATATATATATATATATATATTAAAAAAACAGACAAATACTTTAGAAGAATGGCAAATTAAAACATAATGAGGGTGTTGGCATCTTAAGATTAGAAAATTTTCAGTCAGTGTACACTAATCTGAATAAGATTAGATTACAGTAGTCCCTCACTACTTTGTGGTTCAATTTTCACAGACTCGCTCTATCTGGTTTTCAAAGTAAGATTGGACATGACACACAATTGGCTGATTGATGGATGAGCTGCATGATCAGCATTAAATTTTATTTTAATAAATTATTTTAAATTATATATTATTGGTACGGATCCCCCGCAATAAACGAGGGACTACTGTGTATAGATTTCTGCTGCACTATGCTCTAATACGAAGATTTATTAATCTGCTGCCTCTCTCTCAAACACAAAGAGGTGAGAAAAACGGGATTAAAAAACTTTTTAAAGTGACAATTTATAAAAACTCAGTTTAGATGACTCTGTGTGGATTGGAATAAACAAACGACGACAGTCTGTTTTGTGCCAACTATTACTTTGTTTCATAAATCAAACAAACAAACTAGAGCCATTATTATACATTCTTTTACTTAATTTTACGTCAGTCTTCATATATCTGTATCCTGTCATCATAAAACTTTGATCGTACTTTTTAAAAGCTGCGGTGTCCAAAAAAAGTAGGCTACAATTGTCTTGACTGAATCTTTAGCCAAATTTAGAGATTAAGACAATCAGATTGTTCTTTCTTTGCATTTTTGTCATTAAATGGACGCTCTCGCCCCCTAGTGGTACAGCGTGGTTATTACAGTGTTTTTGTTAGACTCGTGTGAAAGAAGACAAATACATAATCATATCTATCTGTTTGAAAAACATACCTTGAGTAAAGCAGACTGGGCCTAACGTCCTCCAGAAGAACTGAACAGAATGTCAAAACTTAATTCAGCCAAGTCTTTGAAACCAGTTTAAATAAAAACAATCCAGATTATTTAAAACTCTAATTAGTTTTTTTCTTAAGATGACGATCTATTGCTTATGAAAATTTTTGAGACCCTGTCTACATGACTCCAGATATTTTCCCTTGTTAATGTTTGTTTTTTTGTGTTTCTTAAAAACAGTGTAATACCCATGCTGTGCCACTAGATGGCGAGAACATTCACATTAACACCTTATTAAAATGCGCAAAATAACGCACTTAAATTGGCAAAAGATTCTCCTAAAACCTGTATGTTTCTGTGATACTGTTTAATTTCCTCTGTATGATAAATTATTTAAGCATGTGATCAAAGATTAATGTTGATGTGAAAATAACGTAAAGAACAGTCTGATTGTTGATTGGGTCTCGAGGGCCCCAAGTGATCATGGGTAAAAACAGGCTGCTACACCACCGTTTCTGAAAAGCTCCATGTTTCCCGTTCACACAGAGAGACCCGTAAACTGAAGCTGCTTAAATCCTCAGTTTGGAAAGGGTTTTTAAAAACATCCGCTGATGAGAGTGAGACGCAGCAGAAAATATTTATCTTTTAACTAAACGTGGCCACAAACACCACTTTTTCTGCTTAAACGCCACGATTTTCTACGTCTACACTGAGTTTGAGCTCTTTTTGTATAAACTCAAGAATGTAAGTTTGTTTCCTTCTGAGCACATCTTCTGCACAGAACAAAGACTGGGAGGTTTTTAATCCAACACCTTTCACATTCATACTGTGAAGACATTTTATAAAGGCCTTTATGCACAAAACCACCCACCTGGGGGGTGAGGGGATAAATAAATAAATCCAAACCATTCCAATAAAAACAGTTGGCTTATCTTGCCCATTTTATCACTGATATAAAAACTGAGCTGATGTTTTACACATGTGAACACATGTGCAACAATAACTGTCAGGTACGTAACATCCAATAACCAATGAACACTGAACATGGAATATTTAAATGTTGCTCGTTGGACATTTACTGGAAAACCCAAAAGATGCCAGCATAAAGAGGAACGTTAACACAAGTCAGAGACGAGGACAACACAGACAGGAAGACAAACAAGGTGCATTCGAGTTAAAGACTTTTGCCCGGCGTGCTCCCTGACCCCCTCCAGGAACAAAAATGTCCGATCAGGAGTTTGATCGATCACATTTGGCTTCTGGTTTTCAGATGGAAAGTTTATCAGCTTCAGTTTCCTCTGATACAGAAGTGGAGAAAACCTGTCTCAGCTGCCATATTTGAAACAAAAAGCAGTAAATATTTGCACTCTTGTTAGATTCTTAATTACTTCACGCAAATCTTTGACCACGATTAGCAGCAACTGGTAAAAATATAGAATCATATAGAAACTTTGTGGTAACTATTTGTTGTGCTATGGCATAATCCAAGGTTTTCTCCAGTGAGTTTATTTCAGCTTGGCCAGTGTGCACTAATAATGTGCGTGGCCAAGAATGCAGCTTTGCAGGGTGAGGACACAAAAACAAGCAGGGCTTTTCAGCAAACTGTGGTCTGAATGTGGCCACACAGCGCACTGGTCCCAGTGACTCCTTCAAAACGACTCCAACACACATGTCCTCCGTTAAATCACAATTCTGAGTCCCCAGTGAGCCTCCAACCATTTTAGCCCAGTGAGATACAAACTAAACCATCACATATTGAAGCATCGATGAATGTTGAATTTGGTTTTAAATCACCAGCTGTCGTCAAAGGTTTGCAAGAAATAATAAGAAACAAATACGAACCCTATTTTCTGCTTTAAACAGACAGAAGAGCCAAACTGATTAAATCCTTTTTTTTTTTATTCAGCTGATTAATAACAAAATCCACTGATCGACAAGTTATGAATAGCTTGTAACTTTTATCACATGAAGATATAAAAGTTGAAACATACCTTAAATCTTACAAAGTAGCTAAATACTTTCCCTGGTGAACAAAGTCAACATATAATTGAACCAACTAGAGTTTTTTTGCTGCTCAAATGGACAAATGCTTTAGTAGACACACACACACACACACACACACACACACATGTATAAACACATGTAGCTTTGGCAACCAGAGGAATTAAAAAGTGAAGATCAGCAATGCAACAAGTTTAGTGCAAAGGGAAGGAAGGCACCGGCAAAATAAAATTCCACAGTAAGTGATCCCTCTAGAATCATCAGCAGTTCCAATTATTGTCACGAACGTTTTAAGTAACATTTAAGTGGACGTGTTTTTGTTTTCTTTCAGTCCACAAATAAAAGCATCATGTTTAGAAGAGAACCCTGATGAAACAACCGAAGTCAGGAATCAGCCGAAGAAAGATGCGTGGGCTTCGGCTACTTCAACTTAAATACAATAAATTATTACTCAATTCATTTTATTTGCATTAATCTGGAATGGATTGAAATATACTTTATATATCATTTAAATAAAAAAATATATATAATTGGGGATAATTGAGTGTTGTGTTGTTGACCAGCTAAAGTGACAAAACAACAACGTAAAAAAAACACCACGGAACGGGTCAGAAAAAAAAAAAGTTGGACTCAAATCATTTGCTTAGAAATGCTCCTGTGAACCATTTAAACAGAGTCATGTCTCAGTTCATGCTTCTACAAGCAGCTGGACCCCCAGGAGCTCCGGGGTAAAGGTCTGCAGCTTAATCAAATTGATTTGAACTGTATTGTTTAACCAATAAAAAACAATCAAACCGACCAAATGCAGCCCGCAAACTGTCAAAAACATAAATATTAAACCCACAAAAGCCCCCGCTCTCCGCATGTGGGAACAAATCAAGAGGTGGACCTGCTGCCTCGATGGATCCAAACTGGTTGCTCCTGCAGAACCTAACGACGAGATAATTCAACCACTGGAGCACGGAAACAACAAAAGCATCCAGGATGGTGGTAATGGAGGTCCAGGACGCTCCGCGACAGGAACATCACACACCTCTGACAACAACTCACCCTCCAACACTCGGAGTATATTAACATGTGCTAATTACATACACACACAGCTGCTTTTACTGTATTTCTGCAGCTATCAGCTTTATTTCCTCTATAAATGTAACTAAATCTCCTTAAGTTTATCTGAGCTATGACAGGTGCATTGGATACAAGTGTTTTCTATATTCAGCATCGTTTCTGAATGACAAATGATGACATGGTTGAGCTGAACTCAGAAGAAACGAGGACCCTGGACAGCTCACCATCACTGAAGGCTAAGTATTCTCGAGCTTATCAGCACCGGACCAAATCAGAATACTTTCCTCTACAAAATGACCTGGAGCAAAAGGAGTGCTGAAGCAGCTCTTATGGAGTCTCCACGTGAAGTGTTCTTTAATCGAGGGTTCACCGCACTGTGAAAGTTTGCTAGTCAACATAAAACACTATAGCTTGGCTCGATGGTATTAGTGAGAACAAAATATTAGATCACATTTACTCCGCAAACCTCCTCTTGTCAGTCTCTATTTATATTTATACAAACATATATACATACGTACAAATAATCGTTGAACTGAAATCAAAGAAAGGAATGAGGATGGAGAGGAGAAGATGAGCAGAAGGTTTAACAACAACAACAAAAATGGTTACAAAAATAAAAGACATCTTCTCCGGAGTTCTCCCGACAACTAAGTTCCAGCCATAGATTATTTATCACACGAAAATTAACAATAACAAAAAAAAAAAAAAAGATGTACGTGGTTTAATGCTTTCTGTCTTTTAAATAGAGGACAGACAGAACTCTTCTACCCATGAGCCTCCTCTTCTGTGGAGCTCTCCTGGGCTCTGCTGCCACCTGTGGAACCCGACCAATGAGAGAAGAGCTGGGGTGAGTGAGGGGTGACACAAGCACACAGATGAAAATAACACACACACACACGGGGGTCTTTAAAGTGCAGAGGGGTTCATATTAGTGAAGGACTAACAGGTTGAGTGAAGACAGAAAAGATGCCACCAGAGACGAACCTGCTGTTCTGCAATTAAAAACCTTCATCTAAGTTAAGACCTCGTCAGTAAAAAGCAACATGAAGATGTATTTCAGCAAAATAACAAGGTCCATCCCTTTTGAAGCATCTTTCCTGTTTTGATTCACTTCAGGGTCTGAAACACGTCCTCTGGACTGATATATTGGAGGTCTCGACTTCTATTCTGCTCAACAGTGATGAGAAGATGTTTCTTAACAAAAGCAATGTTGCCTAAAATCTGACTTTATTTAACTACAGAAAATATGCTCAGCATCTGTTTGTATCCAGTTTTAAGGAGCATTTATATATACTTGTACACACGGGGGCTGCAGTAGCTCAGTGGTGAATTGTTGTGGTCTTATTTCCATTACTGTCTACATAAAAGAAAGCAAACACAGTTGTTTATTTTATTTTTTCTTGTCAGAATATCTCCGATCAAAATCGTCTGTAAATAATAATAAAAAAAAAGTCCCTTAATACTTTGCGGTTCAACGTTCGTGGACTCACTCTTTCACGGGTTTTCAGTGTAAGACATGACACACGATTGAATGGAGATGGAGAAAGATGGACCCCGCCCTCTCCTTTCTCTTTCTGAGGCTGTCTGTCACAGCAGACAGAGAAAGAGAAAGGAGGGAGTGGAGTCTGTCTTTCCCCGTCACTACTGCTCAGGGAGCATGAATAAACAGATCAGATGAACAAATGTAGAATTATCTGAGAAAATGCTTAGGTGGAAAAATAAGAGTGAATCAGTTTAAAAAGAGGGAGAGTGGCTGAGCGCGGCTCATTCAGGTATAAGACAGACCCTCCGCCCCCTCCTTTCTCTTTCTGAGGCTGTCTGTCACAACAAATCAAAGTGTGTCTCTGTTCTGCTGTGACAGACAGCCTCAGAAATAGAAAGGAAGGGGCGGGGGGTCTATCTTATACCTGAGTGAGCTGTATGAGCAGCATGGATTGTTTATTTAATATAATCAAGCATGACCCAAACCAAGCCTTTAATCCCCCCTCGGCGATAAATGAGCGGGCCAGGCCACCGGGAAATGTCCCGGTGCTCCTGATGGCCAGTCCACTCCCGGGATTGGCTCAGTAACCGCAGCATCAGTCTGTCTGCTCTCTTTCGCTGTGCTCTTTTATTCATTCAACCTTTATTTAGACAGGTTAATCCCATTGAGCCTCGGGGACTCATTTACAAGAGAGACCTGAAAAGAGCATTATTTTTAGAGCGTTTAGAACATTGTTAAGAACATTGCAAGAGGGTGGAAAAGGTTTATAAAGCCTTACAAATATATATGATACTAAAATAAATATAATATCCCAACTTTGTGGATTTTCACCTATTGCGGGCGTGTCTGGAACGTAACCCCCGCGATAAGTGAGGGACTACTGTAATTACTGAAGACATAGAAGGGTAGGATAAAAAGGTTCTGTTGATCAGATAAAGTGCTCAGGAGAGAAAAAAAACGATAAAAAAAATAGAAACAGAACATTTTAGTAGAATTATATTGCGTACAACTGTAAACAGCAAAGCTAAAGTGCTTTTAGTACTAACGACCAAACAGCAGGAAATAATTGCATTTTCATAATACATTTATTTTACTGGATTGTTTTGAACGTCTTTATAAAAATATTTGGATTTGTTTGTTCAAATTTGCTTTTGTCCTAAATTATTAAGGATTCAGGTGTTAAATGGTTTTTAAAGGGGCACACACTGATCCACTTTTTGAACAACTTTTTCAACATGTTTGGAAGAAGAAACTGCTTTAACATGTTTAGGACATGCAAACTCATACAGCATCAGTAAAAATCTGTTTTAATGTTTTTTTTATTAAGATTGTCAATCACTAGCTCATCAGGACTGCTTTAACCTGTGACATAAATGCTTTCTTTAAAAAAAGTAAACAGGAACTCAACAATTAGTTTAATAAATGATAAAAGAAGATTATAAACATCGTAAAGTATAAAAATCCATAGCAAAAATAATCTAATCACTGTAAACATTTAACTGTGCAAATCCTCCAGGGAGAAAATAGCCAACATTTATTAGTTGTGTCATTTTCTGCCACTTTTCTATAAGTATAATAATATTTAGCAATAAATGTTGGTAATAATATATTTACTTATTTTGGGAAGACAGGATTTAGATGTATCACAGGAACTGGATTAACCAATAACGCTAAGGCCTTTCAAGAATGTGTTTCTAAAACTTTGTTTCTAAGAACGCTGGGCTGAAACAATCAATACTTCAGCGTTTGAATAAAAGCTGTTCCTGTGGGAACGGACCCTAAAATATTAATTAAAGGTCAACACTGCTAAGTGGCCCTCCTCTCAGGAGTACGGGTAGCTTTTCTGAACACAAAAGTTTTATTTTTATAAAGTTACCGCAATTTTCCTTTTTTTTTTTTTGCACAAGTTAGCATGTACTGTGACTTATACAGCAAAGAGACGCATTTATGTTTTGCCCCATATTTATAACCCAATTTTTGTCTGAGAGCTGACAATTTAATTCATTCTTACATGGGAAAATATTGAACACTACCATGTTCAGCCACTAGAGGGCCCTCGACTAATATGGCAAGCCAAGTGTCTCATTAATAGGTAAAAGTGGCTATTAATGAGATACTTGGCTTGCCATACCAAGCCACCTTCGTCTCGCTCCGTAACTCCTGGAGCAAACGTCCAATCAGCTGCATTTCACCTCCCAGGCAAAAGTAAAGTACATTTATTAAGGAAAAGTTCAACTGAGACACACCTTGACTATAATGTGGAGCAAACAAATAATTGTTTTTAGGTGGTTATCTTGTTAAATTTCAAATAAATGCACAGCGAGTCGTCGCTCTGCGTGCTCCCACTTCCGCAAACTGGCTTTTGAAATGCAGCTGATTTGATCATTAAGTGCATTTATTTAGGAAAAGTTGTGATTTCAAGCAAACAAATAATTGTTTTTAAGTGTTAATCTTGTTAAATCATTGTTAAAGTCCTCCCTTCCGGGTTTGGCCCACATTTCCGGGTTGTTAGCAGGGACGCATAATAGATGCAACGTACTTGTTTTTTTCCACATTATTAGACATATTTGGACTGATCCGACTTATACAGCGGTGCGGCGTTTAAGGCGGCAAGTACGGTAGTTTGAAGCCACAGATTAAACAGTGGTTTCGGAATGAAAATATGCATTTTCATGTGGACAGCCTAAACGGAACTTTTTGAAAACTACAATATCACTCCACCTCTAGTCTAATCTTTGATCTGAGGGCAGCCTTGTTTTCTTGCGTTCACATTTACCCCTCCACGCCTTGTTTCCTGCCTCGGGTGTAATCTCAAAGCAGTGTTATAGCGCCACATACAGGCCTGGCACAGTTACTACAGCAATTTGACACCTTTAGTTTCCGTGTGGACGGATACATTTTTTGGGGAATTGTGCCGTGTTTACAAGGATATTTTTAGAAACAAAACAAATTGTTTTGGAAAAACTGCATTTCTGTGTGGACAAGGCCTTAATTAGAAAAGGCGACGATGACTGAAAAATCTAAACACCACAACACAATTCAAGGTGCATTTTTTACTTTAGAGGCTGCGCATCTTGATTTTTATTACTAATGTTAAATGAAAAGAATTTCAGGACCAGCAAGTCTTTTAAAAACATGAAATCCTCGTTTGAAGGAAACTGGATGAATTTTTTAGACTTTCAAAACACAGCAGATGGACTTGACCTTTTAAAATGACAAGTAAAGTGTATTTTAACAAACATCTTTCAGTCTAAAGTAAAAATCTGATAGCTGCCACGAGCTGCTGCTCTGTTTCATGTAACACTGAAAAATCAAACAGATCAACATGTGCAGGACCTCTAAAATCACAATAAATACATAAATGGAAAAGTAGCAGGATAATATTAACCAGAAGTGTCGTTTAAAAAGTGAACCTCCAATATAGAAGCCAGGGAACAAAGTTCATCACCATCTGTGGACGTTTTTGTCGTTTACCACACAAAATGGCCAAAAAGATTCAAAAACTTTATCTACTAAAGATATAGATCCACCAAACAACATACAGGGGCAAAAACAAAACAAGGTTAAAGAAATAAAAACACATTTTACCACACACACACACACACACACACACACACACTGACAGGTTTATAGGAGCGGAAAAAAATGCGCATTAGAAAAATTACTGAGAAAGTAGACAGTTAAAAACAGTCCTGAAGCAAGACATCATCTCTGTCAGTGCCGTTTAGTCGGTGAGGCGGAGTTTGGTTTACCTCATGCAAAAAAAAATAAAAATAAACACAAACAAAACCCTAACAATAGTTATCAATGGTATCAAAAAATGAAAAGTTTACAGGAAACTCTGGGTGGGCCAGAGACAAGACGGAGGCACACAAGGAGGGAAAAGAAAGAGAAAGAGAAAATCATTTTAGTTCAGTTGAAGAACAGGAAAGCACAGTCCTAAAACACTAGAAGGCAACGCCAAACACAAAGAATGTTCGGAGGTCGGCGAGGCAGCAGACCCGGCAGGTCAGACAACGTTTTGAGCAAAGCTACCTTGTGCGGCGTTTCTCTCATTTAGCAGCTTCGTCTGACTGTTGGGCAGAATCTTGATCTCTGGAGGATCGGGACTCTGCCCGACACGGGACGCCATGAGAGCGTTCAGATACTGAAGACGTGTCACCTGCAAATCACACACACACAAAACTAACTTTTCATCTGGATCAACATCAGTGATTCACTGCGTTCACATTTTCTAAAGGTGTCCCCCCTCTGATGCGGTGCGGTGAGGTTCACCTTGCTGGTCGCTCTCAGCGCACAGCGGCGTGTTAAGGGTTAAACTCTTGACTCTTTGCTCTGAGACTGCGCTCTCCACTAATAATAGTGTGAATGTTAATGAAGCATTCACACCACTGTCATCCATTTTCCTTCAGTACGTTTTTCAACATTGTTCTCGTTCCACAATTCTTCAGCTATTTCAGCTAATATTTAGCTGTTTTTATGTTAATATTAGCTTTTGCAGCTAATTCCACATTTGTTGCTCTCAGTTCAACTTTTTTCAGCCTAGTTCAGCAAACATGTGCTCTCTCCACTTCCTCCCGGTAATTTAAGCTTCTTTCAGCTTTTTTAGCTACTT